TAATGAGTATCTATTGTTCATTCTAGCGTTAAACGACCGTAGGCATTTTTGTATAACTTTCCATAAGAATAAGAGAGAGACTTATGGTTTTGACTATTCAAAAGAGCCGATGAAGAAGCATTGAACTATATATAGAAAGACTTTTGTAACTAATTTTTTAAAGCTTTTATTAAAACATTTTCGAAGGGCTGGGTGTGGGTGTGTGGGTGTGAGTAAACCTAATTCTCATCGGGACGAATATCCACACCCACACCCCATTCTCTATTCTAAATATAAGTACGCTGCCCGAGGAAAATTTCTTCTAAATGTATTAGGAAAGTCTATTGTACACTGAGTAGATTGTAATGGATTTTATGACTTTCAATCTGACTTCTTCAATGGTACAAAAATACAACGTTTAGATTTTCTCAACAGTTAGATGTCCATTCTTTTACTTACTTGTCTTAATTCTAGAAGATCTTGAATCATAAAACGAATACGTGCGGATATTCTTTGTTCTTTTATAATAGTATTTAAATCAAAATAATATTTTTCCAATTTGGATCTATTTGTGTTCTAAAACAAAGTTGGAAAATCCAACAATTGAGTTTACAAAATTTCACATACTTTTTTCTTAACTTTATTATCAAGTTTGTCACCAATAGTATGTAAAAGATTACATAAACATTCAAGACTTGCTTCATTAGTTTTATCACAAAGTAAAAATTCAATACAATCATATATGATAGTATAACTTAACATTTGTACTTGAAATAGCTCACCGATAAAACTGAAATAATCAAAACAACTTTACATTGGTATGAAACAACTTTTCTTTAATAATTGATCTCAATATTGATTCGACTAATAAGCTCATAAAAAGAATTTTCACATATCAAAGAGTAAAAAATATGATAAAATATTTCAGCGTCTTGAAAAAAAGATTGAAATTAATTTTTCACTAAATCTCATGAGATTAAAAGCTATATGTATCGAATATCATCAGATGATTGAGAAAATATCTAAATATTATTAAATCCAAGAATGTGGTGATTGTTTCACTTTCGGAAAAATCATATTTTTCTTATCCCACGGAACACTCAGGACTCTGATCAAAACTATTTGTTCGAATTGTAATCGCAATATTCTCGAAACTTATGCACAAAAAGGTAAATTTTTGCAAACAAAGTGATCTATAACATAGTAAAAACTTGATTTAATAGAAGAATCAACGAACTATAATCACATTGAAAAACTGAATTAATCATATGACTAGAAATTATACAGCAGGTAAAAGGTAGATTTTTGTAGAAATGTATTTGAACGATACTAAAAATAAAGATATCAATAAACAGAAGATTGTTCAACTGAATTGATCTTAAAAACTTTTTTCTCTACAATGAGCTGGGTTCGCAGCAGCTCTTCAAAAATATATAGGAATATATAGGAATTGTTAGATCTCAAATATATAGGATCGTCCTCGGATATATAGGAAATATATAGGACTCTAATATTTCGTTTAAAAACAACTAGACATGTAAAAATCACTACTGCAGAATGGTAGATGATGTTCTTATAACGTACCTCGGCTCACCTAAATAAAAATACAGCTTTGTTATGAAAAACAGTAGTATGGCAATATTTTATACAAAGACAAAAAGAAATAATTTATGTTCGGTTAACCTTCAACTATTTCACAGCTACATGCAAGGAGGAAACAGGTGAAATCAGATTATTTTTGTTGACTTTTTTGATTTTCCTCTTGATTTTTCTAATTTAAAACCAACTGATTTTAAACTAAGAAAATAAGAAAAATCAAAAAAATCAGAAAAATTTAAAAATCGGAAAAATCCAAAGAAGCAAAAAAACAGTCAAATTTCAACTGTTTCACTCTCGATTGATATTTTCAAGCTCAAAAATTAAAAATTTTACCATTTTCATTGATTTGTCTGATGTTTTTGATTTTCATTTTTGATTTAAATCAAAAAGTCAGGTTTTCCTCCCTTGCCAACATATGATAAAAATATTATAAAATTGACTGAGATAAAGATCACAAAAATGCTTTCTTTTAATGTAAAGAAAACAATCCATATCTTTTGTCAAGACTATTATAGTTTCTAACAGTCTCAGAGCTATATAATCAAAATGTATACATATTTAAAGCACAGCAAAATAATCGGTTTAGTAACAGATAGTCGATGCATTGGTAAAAGTTTTCTTCGTTTCTGATGCTACTTTAAAATAAACACCACCGTTTCTAGTACTGTCAAACATAATAGAATCACTTTCTAGCTGCAATTTTCTTTAAATTTTCTTTTGTCTTAATATCACTTTTTTTGAAATAAAATTCATCACAAATATGTAGATTAGCATGTGCTCTTTCACTGTTTATTGCAATAACTACTGACGAAACACATGTAAATCTATACATTTGTGTTGAATTTTATTTTTTTAAAAGTGATATTAAGATGGAAAAAATTTAAAGAAAATATTGCCCTTAGTGCTTTATATTATGTTATGAACGCCGCTGATAATATTTAAACAACATGCTAGGCACTTATTTGAAGGAAACATGGTTCTTTCCATAATAATCTTTAATTTTTTGAAAAATATAGGAATATAGGAAAAAAGCTCAAAATATAGTCTATTATAGGACTAACTTGAAAAATATAGGAAATATAGGACGACTGCGATGCCAGACAATGAGTCTACTCATATTTCACGTCCAATTTATCTTGCATGTTCTTCTTAGAAATTGTATAAAATCAAAGTCTTTTTATTAATAGAATTTCTAAATTGATGTAGCAAAGCTCGTTACGTTGAAAACTATAGAGTTTAGTGACAAATTATTGCATTTTTTTAGCTCAGAGCCAAACTTCACGTCTTATAAAGTTCTTTAATGTATACTATAAACCTATCAGATACTTCTTTTTTATATATTTATATGCGACGGTTCACACAGAATTCTAAGAAACAGTATTATCGAATATTTTGCAGCATCAAACTTTATTAAAATAGAGTGGAACACGATGCAGAGCTATGGACTTTTGTTTTTGAATAGTAATAATGAGATTCAAAAAAAAAAGTTGATCTTCAAGAACCAATAAATATTTGTCGTTTTTAGTATTAATTTATAGTTGATTAATATACTTACACAACATTGTCTAATTTTCTTCTTCTAGCTTTAATAAGATTTTCTAATATCTCAGCTTCTTCTTGATGCTTTTTCTCATCTGTTATAGTTTCAAGTTCAAGTTTTCTCTTTTCATATTCACTTTCTTGTATATCATCATTATCAAATTCTTTCTTACAATATATCATTAATCATGGACCAAGCGTGTGTTTTTTTAATCTACCATGTTTATCTGTGACATTCACATGTTTCTAAAAGACAAATTCAAATAAATTAAAATCGATAATAGAAAACATACTTTTCGAAGTTGTTTACATAATTTTGCGTATAGAAAACTATAATGTGGTTCATCAATAGCCTAATACACAAAAGATACTTCGTATAATTAAGTAAAAAAACTAACTAGAAAATTTACTTTAGAATGCAATATCATAATCATTCCTTCTAGTTTTTCATAAGAATCAAAATCTAAAGCTAAAAATTGTTTTTGTAATTGATCATATGTTTGTGGTGTTAATTTATTTATCATGGATCTAATATCAAATAGAAATCTATTATCAGCATCAATTTTATTTTGATCGACTAGAATAGAAGAATTTGGAACCTGATTATTAAAATCAGGTTTAGTTGATACTTGAATTTCTATTTTATGACTCAAGTCGTTTGTTAGATCGGGATTA